TAGGGAAAAGAAGAATCAAGAGAGTAGAGTTTTAATGTGCCACCTCTGCCTATGAATCCATATAAGCTGTTGGCCAGGTTGTTTATATTTCCTAGGCTTCACTTTTCCTGTCTGTAAAATAGAAATAATAGTACCCACTTTTGTAAAAGCACCTGGGGGTTATGCAATGCAAAGTTATGTATAAACTTAAAATCTCATTATGGTTAAGTAATAAATTTCCAACAAATTAATACCATTGGGATCTGATTTCTGAAAATGTAGATTCTGGGCAATCTCTTTCTATGAGTAGGTCCATTTCCCTGTTTTCTGGCTTCTTGCATTTCATTCAGGTGGCAGTCTGCTGGTGGCTAGAGCAGAGGGCCAGGGAATGGGGATCAGTATTTTTGGGTCTGATCTGTGTAATGACTCAATGGGTCAGTCAAAATCATTTGTTTTCTCTGCACCTCAGGAAGTGGTTGTGCAGAGTTGAGGGTAGGGAAGGGTTTGGTTAATTGACTTCTATGTAGTGCTTTGATTGACGGACACTGAAATGTTTGTTTTCTAGTATCCAATTCGTCCCTCTTCCATGACCTACGATGATGTGATGCATCTGTCAGCAAAAATAAAACCAAAGCAGCAAAAGGTGGGTGTCACATAAGACTGATTTGAAACTCTTGCTTTATACTGGCTGTGGAGTGCTGCAGAAGAACAACAAATTGTACTATTAAGCTGTTGTTGGGAGTACAACAACTTGTGGGACCAGATCTCTTGGATTAGTGACTTTCATTATGCCTGAGAAATAACATTTAAGGGAGCTTTTTCTGGCAGGGATTTTTTGTTGACAATTAAGTTCATGATGCAGTAATGGAGAGGATACTTCTTTAATATAAAAATCCTAAAATCACATGTAGAGCCATTGTAGCCAAGCACAGGTGATACAGCTGGTTCAGCTCTGTGGATGTTTGTGCCAGTAATCCAAGTTTTAAAATGTTTTCAGTGCCACTGATATTCAGAGAATGGCTGAGTTTTGGTAATGTGCTCTGTGCTAAGTTTTTTGGCATCAGCAGAGGACTTGATTCTGCTCTTGCTTATTGTGCTGGCTTAAACCAGCATATAGTAGTGTAAGTGAGGTCAGAGTCGAGCATGAAATGAGTGAGAGGGGCCTTTAGACAGGAGCTTCCCAACTCAATGATCTTGATCAAGGTCTAGTTTTGCAAGCATCTTTTTGTAGCTCTCCAATTGAAAGCAGAGAGAAAGCTGTTTGTCTCCACAGTTATCCCAAATCTCATAATAAGCTGTTCTTAAACTTATAAATAGGACTTCTGAATTTGACCAGTTGGACATTTCTATACAAAAAAAAGAAATTGGAGTTTACCCAATAAATAACCAAATGACACCAGAAATCATTACTGAATTCTGTTGCCTTCACCCCTTTTGCAGTACTGTTTCTCTGTAGGTGCTGCTTTTGCTCATTGACTTGTCTCTGTCAATTTGAGCTTGGCATTTGCAAGCTCTGAAGCTAAGGGTGACAGCAAATTCCTGCCTCGTCAATAGGGAGGACTGTACATGGGTGCAGGATTTAAAACAATACAGAATCACTAATGGTGGATGCAAGTCAGATATGCCTTGTCACATAAAAGCCCTGCTATGATCTGGCTGTGATCATCAGGATTTCATTGTGGAAGATGGCAAAGAAAAGATCTCAGAGTGCAAGTTCTGCAGTTATGATGCATGTTGTCTCTGGAAAAACATCTGGAATTGCAAAACATTGCAATCTAAACCCCGTAGAAACCTGAAAGCCTGCCAGGCACATTTAGCACTGTGGCCCATTTGTTGATTACTAATTCTGTGATACAGGTTGAAAGAAGAATGTTGAAGATGGATGCGGCATAGGAACTTACAAGGGCATTGGCACCATCCACAAATGGGGGGGATGTTTCGGTTCTGTGTTTGTCCTATAACACAAATGTAAATTCCAAGCAACTCTGCTCATGTCTGCAGTCTTGCTCCAGTATAAGATTGGAGTTGGGTTTCTTACCTCCAAATGGAGCACAAATACTGCATCATTTATTGTGCTGCTTTGCCCAAGTGCTGGGGAAATGCAGACGTGGCTTCATTGTTTCTGAATGGGCCCAGAGCAGGAGGAAGGGATGGGTTGCTCTTATATTTGATGGACAGCACTGAACAACTTGAGACTGACAAGATAGTAAAGAGAAAATTTAGCAAAGCTAAGATGGTTGTCCTTTCCTGTTCCTGCTCCCCTCTCCACCCCCTGTTTGAGCTAACAGAAAGGATTTAGACTGTTTTCCCATACTAAATTCCCCAGGAAATTATGTACCTAAATCTCATGGGCAAATTTTAAAATCTACGCCATAATGTTTGTATGTTATTCTTGGACATCAGTGTGCATTAATGCCAGTGGGAATTACACAGCTTTATTGGCCATAACCATGCACCTAAATGTGTATGTTGTGTTGGGAAGAACTCTCTGATACTATTTGCTGAAGGAGATGCTTTGCACTAGAATTGCTGACATGCTTAGCAGGGCGGGGGCATCCAGAACTGGGCATCCTTTGTTAATTGCCTTTTCTTTTTTAATCTTGTCACTGGTGATTTTAAAAGTAGGATTCATAATCATCTGAGTCTCTTTGCAGCACAAACAATATACTTAAAATACTTTTCAGTAGGAATCCTGATCACTGTTATATCTATTGTTGATATTGATGTAGAGGTTCAGAATTATACCCTTAGTTCTTCAGATATATGCATATGCTTAAACTTTGCATACAGTTTATGTGTATGAATAGTCCCTTGAACAAAGTTGATTGTACCTTTTATGTTAGTCTTTGCAGAAAGAGCACTTAAGTTTCACTGTAGATGAAAAACGATTATGTTTAGCTAATTATTGGTGCTTGCTTATTTTATCAATGATTAGGTTGAACTTGAAATGGCCATTGATACTTTGAATCCCAACTATTGCCGCAGCAAAGGAGAACAGATTGCTCTTAACGTGGATGGGACCTGCACAGATGAAACCAATACATATTCCTCGTAGGTATCACCTTTGCCTTAACACTCTTGTCAATTAAGGATCCAGATTGATCACCAAGATTTAGAGAAAGGTCAAAGTAAGCGCATGTTCAGTCTTGAGGAGAAATGAGGATGTTCGTTGCTGAGACTTTTAAAAGTAACCCATGATTTTTTTTTGGATTGGTGAATTTTTGGGTGCCCAGCTTTTGAGACAACTTTAACAGGAGCTGAATTTCAGGAAGGGTTGAGTCTCCATCCCTACTCGTGTGGAAGGCCAGCCTTTGTAAAGTGCTTTAAGTTGGGCACCCAAAAATCTCCAGTCACATTTGCTAGTATCTGGTCAGTGTATTTTGAGCTTTGAGACAGTCAACTTAAAATATAAGTCAGTTTTAAAAACATTTCAAGTAGTATCTGATTGTCTGTCTGTCCCTGATCCCCCTGCTGATTCTTGTGACTTTGCAGCACCGTTTCCTAATTTTTCATGTTCTGTCCTTCCCCTCCCTCCACCTCACTGTGCAAGATCCATGCAACCACCAAAGAATCTGACAAACTTTGAATGTGACTATTTTCATATGTTAAGATATGCACAAAATAAGCTGAGAGAAAGTGACAGATACTTATACTTACAGTAATCTGAGGACTGCTTGTTCCTTTAGCTGTAAAAATAAAATTCAGGCATATGTATGATGGTTAAGTTTGGGGAAAGTTCTGCTAGAGGAAATGATTTCCAGTTGGCTCAGATAAGTATGACTTCCACCCTAATTCCCCCCCTGATTCAGCAAAGCATACATTTGAATCTAGGGAAATACGTAGGTACTTTCATGAATAAGGATGTCTTTAAGGACCTCAAGAGTGCTTAAATATTACATATTAATCCAATATTAAATGTTAATTGAACAGTTTATATGATTGGATCATATGTAGTTAGTAATGTAAATGAATAAGCTCTCCTAGAGGAAGGATCCAGATAGCAGGTGTCATAGTTCTCAAGGTAGTTAAACATCTAATCTCTCCATCCCTCTTGTAGTTTCTTCAAGGGCACCAGACTTAGTTCTTGGTCCCTAGCCATCATCTTCCTCAGATTGAAATCCTGCCATCCATACCCTCTAGGTCAGCAAACTGTTACAGTACACTGCGGTCAGCTCAGGAGTCTTGCTTGAATTTTTTAGCCACTGGGGCAATGGCAGGCTTTCAGAGCAAAGTAGTGATCATTTGGGACCAAAATGTTTCAGAGAAAACAGACTAGCCAACAGTAAAAGCGGCTGTCCACACCTTGCTTACCCAGGTGGTAACCTATCTTCCCTGTACAGACCTAGGCAGATCAGACATCACTCTAGGGCAGAGTGTCAAAGGAGAGTTTTATGTCCTCGATCCTCTTAGGCGTCTTCAAATAGGTCAAAGCAGTTTGTTTCTTCCTGGAGGAGGAGAGGACAACCTTAAAAAAAACTAGATAATCTCCTTGTTTCAGCATTGGGAATTTGCTGTAATTCTACTCTGGCTTTAGTTCTTGCAGGAAGCATTCCTTTCCGTACACATGGAGCCAAGAATGTGGGGTTGCTTGGAAGCCCATAAAAGTACATATAAGATTCATGCAGTAGTTTCTTACCATTCTGTAGCATTCATCACAGTTGGCTGCCTGTTCCAGTGTCACATGTTGTAGAGTGAAAACCAGCAGGGCATCTCTGGATAGTTGGGTACCAGCCTCTCAACCCTTTTGAAAGCACTCCAGACTGGATGAATCCATGATGCAACCAGTTTTGGAGACAGAGCTGTGACTGCTGCAGTCCACAATGATTAATGTAATTAAATAAAGGGGCAGAGTGCCAAGTCAACAAATTTGCTGCATGTGTAACTTACAGTGATCTAAAAGGTTAATTATTTCATTTTGGAAATCAGCAATAGCTCTACTTCAGTCTTCCCATTCTTACCTGTTGTTGTCGCCCAATGTAATCGCATTGTTTTACTTTGCTTACAGGAAGCTCATGGACAAGCAAACCTTCTGCTCTACACAGGCTGCCAGTAATTTTTCCCGCTATGCTGCTGCTATCTATAGGAAAGGTGATTTTTGTTTTTCTCTTTCACCCATTCACCCAAAACAAAACCATTTTTGAACGTGCTGGGTGCTTGAAACAAGACAACTACGTTCTTTGTCTTAGCCTTTATTTTTATTTAATGGCTGTTGATTCCTAGACACACATTGCTGTAGCAGATAATTTTAACTATTAGTATTTCAAGGTCTTTGGGATTCCAGTGAGGAATTGTAGAGATGGTGTAAATGAGGCAACAAAGCTATTATAGCTTTTAGACTTCACTGATACCCTACCAAAACTTATAACCCCAAACCATGATTGTTTGTGGGGCAATTTTTTTTAATATTAGGCATAATAAAAAACATGCCCATCTCGTTCTGTAGATTCTGGGCCTTTCTTTGTTCCTCCAACTCTTTCTTACATGATATACTAAAAAGGTGTAGGAGTAGTGATGTGTTCCAAAATGTTTCTGGGATTTACATTATGGATTTGTGATGTCACTTTATTCTGCTTGCTTTTGTCATGAAGGCATAAATAATCGTGTTTGATGTAGGAGGCCAGGGGCTGCTCTAAACTTTTGTTTCTGTGCAAACAGCCATACATTTTGGTCTGGAGTTTAGGGTGATGTTATTTAGAAGAGGGCTTAGGACAGCAAATTCTGATGTAGACCAAGATTATGCTGTAAATTGGGCAAGGCTTTTGATGCTGAATCACCAGTCAAGATTTGACTCAACAGCACTGACTTCCCAGTGTGTGTCAGAGAATTAGTCTGATCAGCTGACCTTATGAAACATACACTTTCTTGAATAGTAAATACCTTACCAGGAGGGTTCTCCTTGTAAAGGTTGGGTCATGTGTGAACCAGAAAATGACAGATTAAACTGCCTAAGCAGAGTGGGACTCATTTAAAGTTAAAATTCATCAGACTTTTATCTTAAATTGGAACGATGACATTGCAAAGATATGGTGAGAAAGACTGTCATCCTGATGTACTAGAATTGTTGTGTTCTATAGGGGAACTTCATTTAACTCCACTACATGGAATTCTACAGCTGAGGCCAAGTTTCACCTACTTGGATAAAGCTGATGCCAAACACAGGGAGAGAGAAGCTGCTAACGAAGGTAAGCGCTTGACAAGTTTTATTTTCTTTGGAGCAGTGAGATTCAGGTTCTCTTTACAGTTTTAAGCAAGTGGCTTTTTGGAGCTGAAGAAAGGCTGAATGTGTTAGAACACTAACATGTAATGGTTGGTTCGCAGGAAATAATTGTTCCATTTAACAGTTGGAAGAATTAATGGTACATAACTTAAAACAGCGAAGAGCTGATTTGCAGGATATTGTAGTGACTAATAATATTTAGCAATTTTAGCCTGTTTTTCAGTGTTGCATAAATATTAACTTATCCTCCCCAAACCCCTGGGAGGTAAGTATTGTAATGAACCTGCAGTCACCCAGGTATACAGTTACCACTGCTACATATCACAGGCACTTGGAAATTAGCTAGAGCAACAGGGTTTGAACTTGGTCCTTCTAGCTCCAGAAGCATCAGGCCCTACTGTTAGAGCTAGAGAAGAGTTCCCATTAGGCCCTTTGACCCAGATTTGTGCCTAAATCTGATTCCATCCAGTAGTGGGCAGTGAAACCTAAGCAGTAGTCAGTTCGTTAGTGCTGAGATTCAGGTCTCTTGTCTGTTACAAGAGAATGCAAAGAATTAAAATGACGTACATAAAGTTATTGTGAGTGTGAACTTGGTTCCCAGCTCTGTTGCAAGCTTCCTGTGTGCCCTTTGGTACAGTCCCTTCATTTCTTTGTCTCTCAGTTCCCAGGGGAATTATTACAAAATCTGGTAGGGATATCATGATGACAGTTTGTAAGGTACAGTGCTGGGACCGTACTAGTACTGAAACAGAGGTGGGCTAAAAACTTGGAGCTGGTGAGCTCATGGTCCATTCACTCTCCTTAACTGGGGCACTCAGTTATAGAGTCTGTTTTGGCTTCTTCATCCCAATGGGTTTTTTAAATCTCATTTTCATGTCTTGTCTTTGACAGGTGGTGATTCATCTCAGGATGAGGCTGAAGATGACGTCAAGCAAATAACTGTATGTCTGAGATTCCTTTTTATGGTCGTTCACATCAGAGCATAATAATTAATAATAATCTGAAAAGGTTAACAATGTCAGTAGTTGGTTCGCAGATACAACTCTGCTTGTAAGATTGACCAGAAGTAGACATGTGAGATTCTAAGGAAGGGATTGTTTACGGGAGAGCTTCTAGTTCAGTTGGCTCCTACCTGTTGGGACCTTTGTCATTAGGTTTATTTTGTTATTCATGTAGCAAACAAACTAATGGATAATACTCTACGCAGGGACAATGTGAATGAGAGTTACAGCAAGAGTTTTGAAGCTGTAGTTAACGGTGACCAAATTTTCTAGGTAAGATTCTCCCGACCAGAGTCGGAGCAAGCCCGCAAGCGACGTGTTCAGTCCTACGAGTTCCTGCAGAAGAGACAAGCTGAAGAGCACTGGGTCCATCTGAATTATTATGGGTTAAGGGTAAGGCTCGGGTGCTATGGAGTCCTGCTCTCTACTGAATTTTCACTTGGCTCAGGAGAATCTAGAATCCAAACCGCGCGGTGGTGCTCATATCTGAAATCCACCTCAGGCCTTTACTTATGGGTTGTAAAGGGGTTTGATAAGAAATTACTTAGGGGCATTCAGTTAGTTGGGTGGTGGGAGTCCTGTATAAATAACAAAGCGTAACGATGTCAAAAGATTGTCAAGGTGGTCATATTGTGGTAGCTATGATGGCCTGGGGAATATGTGAGTAACAAGACTGTTGAGGTAATATCTTTTATTGGACCACCTTTAGAGTTGGGAGAAATGTTTGCTAAGCTTGTGGGTACAAAATACCCTTCCTCTAGTCTGGGAAAGAAAGAAATACAGCCTAAGCCACAGCTGGCCAACTTAGCAGGCAGAGGCTGCGCCAGCAGGAGCCAAGGCCCTCTGTCTCCACCACAACTGCAATCTCCCCTGGAGGTGCATGGGCAGGCAGCTCTTTCTACCACCACTGCACTGCATGTTGGGGCAAGTGGGCAGTTCCCCCTCCTGCCACCTCCTTAGCTGTGGGTTATCCCACTGTACCATGCTGTGGGCTGTACTGAGTTTTGTCTCCCTGCCCTGCCCCTGGGGGCAGGAAGTGAAAGCCAGAGAAGGAAGGGGGAACCTGAAGACCTCTGACTGCAGAGTGATGAGGGGAGCAATGGCCAGGGGCCTTGGATTAATCCCTCATGGCCCTCAGGCCACCAGTTAGACAGCCCTGTCCTTAAGCTAAATACCAGTTAGAGCAGCCACCTTCATTGTGTTAATGAATGTAATTGCCTCAACCTGGAAGTGAGCAGTGAACACATGAGGCAGAGAGAACTAGTCCAGAAAGCTTTTAAAATCCTACAAATGTATGCTTTCCTATTTTGCATGAATGTCAGTGCAGCAACACTTCTCTTAGCCAGGGGAGATACTTGCATAGTGCAGTAGCTATATGTAGAATAAAGAGCCTTGGATTGGAGTCGCACTGGAGACTGTGAGATTGAAGAGTTCAGTTTCCTGCATATTGTAATGCATTTTTTGTATCGCCTCTTTCAGGACAGCCGTTCCGAACACGAGCGCCAGTATTTATTCAGTCAAAGTCATGGCATGGCAGAGAACACTGAATTAATTAAATCACCCAGGTAAAACCTTTGGCAATTATATTATGTCTGGTTGTGGGGGAGGATGGTAATATAACATATGTATAATATTTTATATAAATGTAAAAGTCTTCATGTGTATACTCACATATATATGTCTGATTTGTATTGTTAATGTATTCCGTAGATTCTAACAGCAAGGAAATAGACACTGAATAGACTGTTGTCAAGTTGTGCTGTTTATTATTTGTATTTCATTTCAAGTCTACTTCATGTGAAATTGGAGGATTGCAGATGCTGCCAGGAAAGCCTTAAAACCAAACCAAAAACTATTTTTATTTCAAACGTAAAAACCTCAAGCCAACAGGTTTCATTTCATATCAGATTTATACAACCTTTTATGATTTTTAAGGGAGGCCTGAATGACTCAAGAGTGACTGTTTCTCACCTTCAGATTTGTTTCTTGGTGACAGCAGCTCTGTGGAGAAAGGTTGAGATAACGTGTACATGAGTCTGTTCAGGGGATAATTATGTGACTTTGCGAGCAAGGCCCAAACAATAGGAAAGCAGCAGGTTGCTGTCTTTCTCTTTCTCTGTCTCATGGTCTTGGTGGCTTATTTTTTATATTTCTGAACGGTGTGAGCTGCCATAAAATCTTAGGGGCAGAGTTTGTCCCTAGTTGCAGTGGAGGGGATGAATGTGTGGGTCGAAAGGGGAGAGAATCTGGCATTGTTTGCTGCTCTCTGTCTTGGCCACTTCCATGGCCCCTGTCGCTGCAGCCAGGGCCGTCTGTAGGCGAGGGTGAATCGGGACAACCAGACCTAATGTGACTGGCCCATGGTCAAGCAGGAAGGAACTGAGGTCAGGTTGCCCAAGTACCAGGCCAGCATTCTAGCATCTGGTCCCAGCCCCAATCTGGTGCTAATATCAGGAAATGTACGTAGGAATGTCGATTGTTGGTTCTGGAAACAGAAGGAATTTAGTAATTTGGACTTCTCACAACAGACTAAAAATAATAAATGGCTATAAGTAAATAGACTCAGCTGATAGAATTACTGTCTCAACATTCATCAGCACTGAATTCGATTGAAAAAAGAATAAACAGTCTTTATAGACTAATATTTGCCTTTAGGTTCCATGCAAATAAGATTGCACAGAACTTAACGGCAAATATTAGTCTACAAATAAGGTTGCACTCAGGAGGAAATGGTTGTACTTAACCCTGGAGAATCTCTTCAAGCATTTGATGATGATGTATTTTCTTTTCCGTAGTGAATACCTAATGATGCTGATGCCTCCGAGCATAGAGGAAGAAAAGTAAGCATTTGTACAAAATGTTTAGACCTCATATTGGCTGGCTGATATCGTTCATTGGCTATAACTCTGTCTGTTTGTTTGCAGTGACAAACCTGTGGCTCCAAGCAATGTGCTTTCTATGGCACAACTGAGAACTTTACCACTTGCCGATCAAATTAAGATACTGATGAAGAATGGTATGTAGTTTTTTGATGTTCCATTTATGCACTCTTTTCCATGCTCTCTAACTAATCTTTTTTTTTTTTCTTGTGGTGGCACTGTTTGTGCTGCCATTCAACAAGCAGTTTGGGAATCTTTCTCAGGATCAGTGCCAGGTTATTAATCCTCACCCTTTCCTTACTGCTCCTGCTGATAGCTTCCACTGCCTTTTTAGAAGGGTAAATAAGTGAGAGGGTAGAGCTGACAGTGTTTTGGACGTTGTATGCAGCCAGAATACTCCATTCTAAGATTGAGCTTGTTGGTTCTTGGACACACCTGCAATTGATCCACTCCTGGCAAGTGGAATCAAAGCACAGATTTTTAAACTCTGAGGTTAATACAGCAGCATGCTGTTTTTGCAGTCCTTCTCCAGCATGTGTTCAGTAATACAGGCCTCTTTTCATGCTGTCTGAGACAGTGTCATCCCATCTTTTGGAGGTCCTGACAGTCTGAGGACAGCAGATACTAAACATTTTACCTCGTGGCCTTCCAGACTTGTTGAATGACTTCCAGTCTGTTAAAAAATTCAGAATATTCAATATTGGCAAAGGTGTTTTCTTGTATTAATTGGGTTCATTTAAGATAATTAACTTTCACATACTACTGCCTAACATTTTTAGTGCAGATGTAGACTGACTAAATTGGAACACTTCTTCTAAAGCCCTTTTATGTTTTTAGAAGCTGTGCAGTATTTTTTCCTGTTGCTTTCAGTATGAGCATATGGGAGTCTTAATGCATTTTTTTAAAGAAATGGTGTGTTTAGATTTAGAAGAATATATCTCCTATGAGCCATTCTGGATAGAGTGAGATACAAGCCTAAAGAATAATAATGATATATTTGAAGAAATCTTTAAGTAACAGTTTCACCTTTTTTTTTTTTTTCCCCAGTGAAGGTCATGCCTTTTGCAAACCTTATGAGCTTAATGGGTCCTGGGATTGATTCGACTGCAGTTTTACGTTGCATACAGCAGGTGGCAATGCTGGTTCAGGGAAACTGGGTGGTGAAGAGGTATGGTTTCTGTTCTTTGTTGCTGTCAAATGTTAACCTTCCTGTTCAGAAGTGGATCAGAGCAGGGGCCTTAAAACGCTGCTGCTGTAAAGCTGCTGAAAGCAAAGTGTGCGCTTTAAAATCCCAAAATGACTTGAACAAACATAATTAAGATTCAGGGGCTTTTTTTCTATAGTGCTTTCTAATGCAGGATTCAAAAGGCTGATGTCAGATGATCTGAGCTCAGCCTGTCCCTTACTTCAATCATGCTGATCTGTGAAAAGATCTTACTTGGGTCTGTACCAAGTCATTTGAGTTCCTTGGTGTCTGCCATCTGTGAGACTAAAGTCCTGAAACTTTCCAGAGAATCATGCCGAATGGGAGCATCTGTAGTGAAAGAAACTAGGCCTGTGCGAATAGGGGAGTATTCAATTTGGATTTGACCGATTCGAAGGACAGTAATATGATTCGGCCGAATCGGCTTTGGAAGATTCGGCACAAATTTGGAGAGGTTCGGTGTTTCGGATCGGCTGGGAAGAGGCAGACACAGCCGGGTGGCTACAGGTTCTCCTGCGGCTCCTCTGGCTGTGCCTGCCTGTCCCAAGGTTGGGGGAGCCACGGGAGAAGCCCCCAGGGCTGCCCTGCCCGGCCCCATCCCCTGCGTGGCCCTAGCCTAGTCCTGGCACTTAAAAAATCCACACTCATCAGCTCTGGCAGCGGTGATTGGGGCCTCTGGGTGCTTGTGGCAGAGCCCCCACCACACAGTGCCGGGCAGTGGGGGGCAGCAAAGATCGCCTGCATTGCGTGGGTGCAGGGCACTGTGTGCTGTCTGGGAGCTGGGGCCACTGGGGCTGAGCAGTGCTGGGATCTGGCTAACTGCTGGAGCCGCCTCAGCTTCCAGGCAGTGTGTGGCGATCTGCCAAGCCACACTGCACCCGTGCCACGGGTCAGCTGCAGTGTGGGTGTCAAGCGGGGGGGGGCATCCCTGCTGCCCCCCACTACCCCACGCTGCGCAGGGGGGTCTGTCATGAGCACTTAGAGACCCTGATTGTCACTGCTAGAGCTAGTGAGTATGGAGCTTTTTTTTAAAGTGCCGGGAGGCTGGGATGGGGATGGGCAGGGGGCTTCTCCCGCGGCTCCTCCTGCTGTGCCTGCCTCTGCTGTGGTGAGGGGAACCACAGGGGCTATGCCCTGCAGCCACTTGCCCAGCCAGGCGGGGGTGTGATGCATGATGCAGGTGCAGCTTGCTCCGGGCAGCTGCAAGGCATAGCCCCTGCTCCCAGCATTGCAGTGCTCACATCAGTGCCCTGATGTCACTTGCCCCCTTCTGCCTGGAGCAAGCTGTGCCTGCTTCCCGCCTCCCCCCCTGCCCCGGCTGGACAAGTGGTAGCAGGGCAGAGCCCCTGCTCCCAGCATTGCTGCGCCTGCATCCCGTGCCCTGCCACCCTGGCTGGGCAACTTGTCCCAGCCCCAATCCGTCCCTCCCCCATGTCCCTTCCCTCCCCCAACAGACTTACCAGCTGGAGGCAGCTGACACCTGCCTGTTTAATATATGGCCGAATCTCCAAACCAGCCGCATCTTTTCCAAAGCTTTTCCGAATCGATTTGGATGCTTCACTTCGATTCAGAGCTTTTAATTGGTCTCCCAATTTGATACGGATTCAGAGATTCGGTCCCTGAATTGGGCTGAATCTCCTGAGAGTCAAATCAGCTACCAAAGCTTTCCACAGCCCTAAAAGAAATCTCCAGTGAAATTTGTCCCTAATCAGTCTTCTCTATGTTTATTGCTGGTAGGTGCTGGAAGCTGCCCTCTGGAGGGATTTTCCCATTTGCAAAATATAGAGTGAGGGTGCTAGGTGTACTGTGCATGTCTAACACCCTCCCCTTTAAGAGTCCAGGGCCGAGCAAGCAGTATCACTTTTGCCCAATGGAATATTGCATAGTGAGAGCATATTGTGTTAGTCATGCCTACTCAGCACTAGTCAAATTATACAGATTCACTAGTAGCAGTGAACCTCTGGAACAAGTTTTGCCTGATATTATCAAGGGTAACAGCTGCTGCCTGGATAGTGTCTGTAGCCAGCCAAGCACACTCTCCTCTAAACGTTTCCCAAAGGGATGCCATAAGCAGGTCAATGTTGTACACAAGCTCCCAGAATGATGGCACAGGTGCAGTGTAGCCAGTTTTGTGTTGCTAGATCTGTGAGGATCTGAGCAAGATCTGTGAGGCCTGGGATGTCTCAATCCCAGAGAGAAGGCTGAATGCATTCATGAGTGCCGAAGGGAGAGTCGCATCATTGATGTTACAGCTCTTCCTCTTGCAACAGACCAGAGTTTTGCAATACAAGATAAACCTAATAGACCGGATCCAGACATGCAGGCACATGCAGTTTGTTGTGCCACAAACCTCTTTGCAGTGCCGCATACTGCATGTGTTACATGTTAAACAATGTCTGGTGCTGCTTATTTGCAGTGCTGGGGCAAGATTTGCTACTGGAGTTTCCCGATAGCAAAAAAAAAAAAAGAAAAAACCCCTGGGGGAAAAAAAAAGCAGCACAAAACATGCAAAAAGTGCCACGTACCAGGACAAATGTGGAGACATGGGAGCAGGCAGCCTAAGACTGCCAGCTCCCCCATCTCCACGGGTTGTGAAGACCCTGTGCCCCAGCCAGTTTCTCCCCAGCTGGCTGAGGCTCAGTGTGCCTTGAGACAGGGGAGCAGGCAGCCCTGGGAACTACTTGCTTCCTCATCTCAAGGCACACTGCATCCCAGGCAGCTGGGGAGCAGCTAGCTGGAGTGCAGGGTGCCTCGAGACAGGGGCTTCATGTGCCTCAGCGTGAGGGCTCCACAGAAGAGCCCTTGCACTCAGGCACGCAGAGAGGGGAGCAGGGCTGCTTGCTCCCCCATCTTGAGGCACCCTGCACCCCAGCCAGTGAGGGAGGGGCTGGCTGGAATGCAGGGTGCTTCCATGTGGGGAGCATGCGGACATGGAGGAGCAGGCAGCCCATCTCCATGTGCCGCTTCCTGGTTGGCTGCGGCCAGAATGCCTCAGCATGGGGGCTGCCTGCCAGCTAGCCCCATGCTGAGGCACTATGTGCCCCAGCCATCCCCCTTGCAGCACATGGAGCAGTGGGACAGTTGTGTCCCACTGCAAACCACACGAGCAGGGGGCGTGCAGTGCAGCTCACAGTAGCGGCACAAATTTGAATACAGTCATAGAGTCTTAAACCAGGTGGGGTTGTTCTGGTCTTAAACCAGGTGGGGTGGGGGCGGGTTGTGTGCTACATAAAATGACATTCCAGTTAGCAGTGATCATGGGAATTTATAGACAGCAAAGACTGAGATCCCTGGTGATGATGGACATAATTCAATTAGTCGTGCAGCCCAACATGGTTATTGCTGCAACCCCTGGCCTGGCTGGCCCCAAGGTGGATGGGCTGAATAGCATAAAGCAGGGCTTACACCGGTATAGCTCCTGTCTTGCCGAATTACGCTTTGCCCATGTTTCATTAATTTAACTGCATCAATGAACCTCCTCCAGGGAGAATTCCCTTGATGTGAACACAGCTTTAAGTTCATTGGAACTTAGGTGCAGGCTGCAAATCACACTGGATGAAAGATCATAAATGGGCAACAGAAGGCACATCTGCTGTCTTAAAAACCCTCATCAATAATAATTAGTTGCAATGCACAATAGCTAACAGTTTTTTCTCTAATTCACAGCGATGTCCTCTATCCAAAAGACACTTCCAGCCCACATAGTGGAGTCCCTGCAGAAGTGCTTTGTAGAGGGAGAGACTTTGTTGTAAGTACAAAAAGTGCTAGTGTATGTGTTGTTATTGCTCAAATGAACTCCAGATAACATTTATGTCACTGGCCACATCCTTGCTAAACTGTACTGCTCTCTTCTGACCGGATGTGTGTTCCATCGAAGAGAGAGCTCTGAATTACTCTAAAGGATTCTCTGTGAATGATTTAAGAGAGTTGCTTGGTATGTAGATTGACACCGGTCAGTCAAGCAACAATCAGAATGGCTTTGTTGTCTTAAACTGTTAATCCAGCATGTTTTTGTCAAGCGGTGACTTCACGTGCAACATGAAAGGGCTGCTAGACTTGCACAGAGATTAAACTGCAGGATGGAACAGACTTTGGTAATTTGTGTTTAGTCCTTATGAACACTGTAAGGAGAATCATTCCCTAGGTAGTGAATGCTCCTTATATTGATCATAAGGACTAAGTACAAATTGTCAAGAACTGGAGAGATACTGGCATGTTTGTAACCATATCGTTTGCCTGTAAGGTCTGATCCTCTCCTAGTTTGTACTCTCCATGGAGTACATAGCTCTTAAATTGTGTTGGGCAGTTGGCAGCTGTTGGTTTAGGATCTGTTAGAGCTCCTGTGTGATTAGCACAGACAGCAGTTACAACTGACTTTGACATAGCTAGATTGCAGTCCAGCATGCTGCTGTTTGAGAGATCTGGATTCAGGTGTAACCCAGTGATTCATCTTCCATGGAATTTGGGGAATTAAGTGATGCTGGAGTGTTATGAGTTGAAGCCTTGTCTGTTTGGAGCCTGCATATAATTGTAAGAAAGGACACACACACAGCCTGCCCAGGTGCTTATCATTTCCACCCTAAGCCTTGGTAAAGCAGAGAGCAGGAAT